TATAAACACAAAATAGCAAAATCTCACTGGCACTCTCGACACGACGCGCAAGAATGGCACAATTACACAGAAGACAACTTTGAGTGAGTAGAAATACTTTGATTGAATAAAAAAAAAATATTTTGCATTGTATAAATTCACTTTTCCACATCCAAAATGTAATTGTTATGTGTAAACAATGTTTGTAAATCCCAGGCCCTGAAGATGATCTCAATAAAGATCGAAACGTTGGCACGATAAAGAAAATGTTTTCCTAAACCTACATCACACCAGACCGCATCTCACGATTTCTAAATAAATATCGATTAACGGTCACTAATCACCACACATTTAAAGATAACGTTTGTTGTTAGGCTTCGGCCGATTTGTGCCCTTTATCCTCTTGCGAAATAACCCTTTGTGATGTACATAAAAGATAAATTGAAATCTGTGATCTATTATTTCGAGATCGTGAGATGCGGTCTGGTGTGACGTAGGTTTAGGAAAACATTTTCTTTATCGTGCAAACGTTTCAACCTTTATTGAGCTCATCTTAAGGGCTCAAAGTGTGTGTTTTCTGTGTAGATGTGCCATTATTGTGTGTCGTGTTGAGAGGTCACACCAGACAGCATCTCAAGGATCTCCAAATAATCATCAACTAACGGTCACTAAACACCACACATTTCTATGATCTTTATGGAAATGAATAAGAAAATATTGATGAAATTATCGAGACGGCGGCTACGAGTGCGATAAAGCCAGATGCACACGTGAACCGATAAACATCCGGATGGGGGTTCGCTAAAGTTTTTCTTGTTAAAATAACTCCCAAAATAGCTCGGTTTCGTTCCTAGTCGTGGACGGCGAGAAGCCTAGAAAAAAAGATCAAAACATTCTAATCGTTTTCAACGCGACGCCTGTTATTACTTGGAGTCATTAATGAACTAAAAATTCAGAAATTTTATGGTGCTGTTCAAAGTGTTGTATTTACGAGATTTCGGATTCAGCGAGTGTTTAATTAACTTTCATCATGAAGCTTTTATCTTTTTTCGGTTTGCAGAAGGCTAAAATAATTTTGTGCTAAAGAGTTTTTTCAAATCTAATAACTGCGCATATACTGACTGAAAGTTTGATGACAAAAGTTAATAATAATCGGGCACATCCATTTAAAAACAATAGTTTACAAAAACAGCTTTTTTTCTTCTTTTTTCTTTATTTTTAATTGTTAAAACAAATCAGTGCGAAACAATTTTCAAAATAATTTGGCAGCATTTTATATATTTCAATTAATTTAAACAGAAATTAAAATAAAATAAAATTTCAAAGGTCGAGATCGAAGAGTTTCTTCGTTTAAAAAAATATCGCAAGTGTGAGGACAGTTTTCAACTTAAATCACCTTAAATTCTATCATCTTTTGTGTCTAAATTGGGTCAAATATTTATCTACCTTGAAAAACAAAAGTTTAAATATATTTTATAGTAAGAACCTTATTGACTCATATAATTTCCACCGCAGCAAGATTGACTATAGTAAGGGCTGAATTTATTTCTACTTCGTCATTTAACGAAGTCATTTCTTCATGGTAAAAACCGATAAATTTTTGTAAGAATGTGTGTTTATTGATCGTTAGTTAATGATTATTTGGAGATTGTGAGATGCGGTCTGGTGTGACGTAGGTTTTTAGAAAGACATTTTCTTTATCGTACCAACGTTTCGATCTTTTTTGAGATTATGTTGAAGGCTCAAAGTGTTTGTTTTCCGTGAAGATGTGTCGTTCTTCTGTGTCGTCGTTTTTCGGGGCACGACAGACAAGAATGACAATCTACTCGGAAAACAAGCACTGAGCCCTGAAGATGATCTCAATAAAGATCGAAACGTTGGCACAATAAAGAAATTGTTTTTCTAAAACCTATCTCACTCCAGGCCGCATTACACTATCCCCAAATAATCGTTTTTAAGAATGAGTAACACAGGCAAGCATAACTACCGGTAATTTTTATACATATGACAGGGTGTTCGGCTACTCGTGTTACAAACTTTGCCAGTAGATTCTACGTTCAAACTAGAACCAAAAAGCACTAATTTACTATGGTCTGAATCTCAACAGTTTCGCAGTTATTCCCCTTTTTCGTTTTTTTAGGATTTAACGGCCTTGCTTCAAATAAACAATGATAATTCCAAAACTAAAAAAAAGTGGACAAATCCGTTGTTACCACTGAAAACTACGTTAAATTTTCAATAAGATGCCATCAATATTAAACTTGTAAACGTTGGTGAAATAAGCGTTTTAGTAGCCAGAACGTAGAAATTTTTTTTTTGTTCAAAGTTGAAAAACGTATTATGGTGATTCTGAACTACTATTTCCAAACCTAGAAACCAGCAAATTTCAGAAAGCGTACTCAATTTAATATCCTTTTTAGTGGTTTAATTGCTTTTTTCAAAGATGAAGAAATTGATGAAGGAAAAGAAAAAACCGTGGTTGATGGATTGGTTAGGTGGAAAGATTAAAAAAAAACATAATGAAATTTTGAATGAATTTAGTAAACGTTTTTTAATTTGGGTTCAAAATCGAAATAGTTCAAGTTTAGTATTGATCACAGCTTATTGGAAATTTAATCTTAAAAATCATAAAAAGAGAAAATAGACACACACACACACACACACACACACACACACACACACACACACACACACACACACACACACACACACATATATATATATATATATATATATATATATATATATAAAGGCCTAAAAAATACAAACACTCGAATCTAGAGAGTAAATCAGATAACATTGATAACATTGGAATATTATGAGATTTGTGTTGTTGAAGTTTGTACTTTGATCCTTTCCGGTTATCCTGGTCCGCCTGTCATTTGGTCTATCAAAAGTGATGAAACTTCAATTTAACTTTATTTCAAATTAAAACGTCCGATTTATGTTTAAAATAACTCTTGGACTTCATACGGTTATTATCAGACAATCAATCAATTATCATTAAATAATTTCAGGTTATTCCTGGTGCTCATATAAAAACAAATAAAGAAAAATAAAATAAAAACAAATAAATAATATTGAAATAAGTTTGTGGCATCTGATTTGAAACCGGGAGGGTATGTAAACATGCAGGACGTTGGAGCCGTGCGGGTTTAGTATCTCATCTTGAAAAAGGCTTTTTTTAAGGCTTCGAAAATATGTAATATTTAGTTTTTTTATAAGCAGTTTTCAAAATTATTTAAAAATTTATATGTATTTTTAATTTTGACAAATAGAAATATATTTTATGTATCAATTGAAATGATTTTGTTTTCTTTTACCATGGCGAAATATCTTCTAAACGTATGTCAAAACTGTAATAAAAATGTGAAAGGGGTCGATTTTTTCTAGTTGTTTCGTGATCGTTTCAGAGATTAGTTGGTGCCACCCCGTTTAATTGAAAAAGACATCATTGAAGAAATTACAAACTCCACTCAATCAATTAGAGTCCTCGAGTAGGTTTATCTAGCCTGATCATTTGATGAATAAAGAAAAAACTAATCCATTTACGTTTTAGTATTCAACTGACCAAGTTACTTCTTTCAATTAATTAGTCTTTTTTTATAGAAGGTCTTGGTTGAGTTAAAAAAGACAGTGTCACGAGCGGGATTTGAACAAACGACCTTCAGCTTAACAAATGGCAAAAAGGAGGGAAAATTCGAACGGTTGTAGGTTGAAATGGACAGTTTGTGTCCGAGTGGATCGAAGTCAGGATAGCTCAAGTGGTCCGAGCAGGGGCGTATTGAACCGAAGGTCGTGAGTTCGAATCCCGCTCGTGACACTGACTTTTCATCTCAACCAAAACTTTACATAAAAAAAGAATAATTTATTGAAAAAAGAAAGTAACATTAAAACTGACACATTTAAAAAAATTAAAATCTTGCACGACTTCTTGAAAAAACGTTCTAATTTACCTCTCAAAAATAAAAGGCTTACAATACCATAGTTAAGCCGGTATGAACTTCGGACTTGAAGTGTGGGTTTCAGCCAAACATTCCAACATCTTCCGCATTCAAACTGCCCAAACCTTAATCCTTCGAAAAAAAGGAGGCTCCATTGTATGTATCGAAACTAACTACACATACAGACTTAAATATCCATTTCGTTCAAAATGAAATCCGTTTCCGTTTCCACAAATTTAAAAAAAACCTCCCAATTACCGTAAATCAGCAATTCAGAAACCTCCGACGAATCCCCTCGAAACCTCATCGCGGACTGAAGAGACAATGGCTGCGAGATCTCCTAGGAACTGATGGTGATGATAGTGAAAGTGATAATGACATAAGTATCAATTGAACAGACAATGTTTTAGTACCATTGGATTTGCTCCACTCTTGTTTTTAATTTTGTATATATTACCTTGCTCATCGTTACTTGTTACCTACTTGAAGGTAGTCAAAAAAAAAAAATTAAAAAACCTGAGCAAAAATGTACATGAATTAACTTGTTTGTTGGATGCTGTAAGTGGTGACAGTAAGAAAAATAAATAAAATAAACACGCTTTGGGAAATACATGTAACAAAATCATTTAAAAACGTCCCTTAAAAAGTACACGTCCAAAAAGATGCTAGAATATGCATATGCATGCAATCGAGTACATACTACATCTGGAGAAGTGAAAATTTCATACTACATCTCTTGAGAAAATTTAAACATAGTATATGTTAAATATTTTACGGAAACATTATTTTTAGTTTGGATTAGGCTGAGGGTTCAATTAATGTCGGAATAATTTACCCACTAACAAATTTGAATTAAATCTTTTCAATCGTAAAAAAGTACAATAAGGGAAGAAAGTAAGTGAAATTACTAAAAACCATAAACATAATGTTTTATGTCAGCCAAATAAGTGAAAATGAAATGAAAATTTATTTAAAAAAACCTACAACGGTAAGCGTAGATGTCCTTCCATAAATTATCACTCTAAATTTTGATTTCACTATTTCATTTTCTCAAAGTGTATAAAAAACTGTCCTCACCTATGAACTCGTTCCTTATTCGCATCCTCTCCTTCAGCTGCGGGGTCGATATGATTAGACAGTTGATGAAGGCGAGAAGGGCCGTCTGGTAGTCCACCTCTACCGCGCCTTCCAGCTCCTTCAGGATAACTTGAAACCGGTATCTCTCGCATTTTAAAGTCTAAAAATCACAAAAAAGAAAGTTAAAGTTTGTATTTCACAAATATTTTATGGAGGATCAAATTTGTTCTTCAAGTTAGCGTCTGGTCGTATGAGTTGGATTATTTGTCGTCTCTTACGTACGTAGTGTCTTCCATACTGTAGGTAGAAAACAAATTCATCTGTTTTTAATCAATTTACTGTTTTAAATTATAAAAAGGTTTTTAGGTAAGATAATTGCAGCGGAGTAGGGTACACCACGATTTCAATTCCAAACAGTGTTGGATAAGTAAGTTTGCAGTACGGGATAACAGTTCCTTTGTATTATCGTTCGTGATATCGTCCTTTGGATGTCTTTTGTTTGTTTTAGAATTTAGACAAACGGAAAAAACACGATAAAACGTCCAATTAACTCTTACTGGAGGGCCGGCGCGAACACGACTTTATCCGGTCGAAATCTAAATGAGAAGGTCTCCAGTCGGCGGACCTTTATCGTTACGCTCGGTTACCTCTTTCTCCTCATAATTTCATTCCATGTTTTTAATAGCTTAATTATTCGGAAAACGGGGAACACCCGGCGATATCGATCTACACGAAGATTTCAAACCGAAAGGACTGTCAAGGTGAGATAGTCCACGCCCAAATTGACAGGCCGATACAATTCAGGAAACGTTGTTTTCCTGTTGCGGATTAATTACTGTAGTTACCATTTTTTTCTTGCATTCCTCGTACACCATCACGATTTTTGTAGAAATAATCTAAAATTATTATTGCTGAGCTTGCGAATGGGCCACAATTCCTTGTTTACACAAGAAGTCCACCTTATTTATTTAACAAGCTGATCCCCATAACCAGTGTATATATACAAAAATGTAAATGTAAATTGCAAAAATATTTAAGTTGGTAAGGAAAATGAAAAAAGAAAGTCGTACAGACAAAATTTGTTCGCTTAGTTCTTCGTCTTGACTTAATTACATCTCGGAGACGCTTCGGCATATTTTCTACCAGTGTGGAAATGTCTCTTTGCTGGAGGTTAACCCAATCTTCACGAAGACACCTTTCAAGATCGTGGAGGGGAAGTGTTCAGAAGGGGAAAGAGGGGTGGCCAGGCGTCCCTGATGTTATGCTGTTGATGGTACGTTTATATTATGCGAGCGACATGTGGACGGGCATTATCGTGCGTTAGAATAGGATTGTCGCTGATTTCATGGAGTATAGGCAACGCTGATGTTCCAAAATTTCATCCACATAGCGAGTGGCCGCCAAAGACCCTTCACGAACAAAAACCAACTCTGTTCGACTCTCCATTGAAATTCCCGCCCACATTATCACTAAACAACGTTGAAAAGGTTGCTCTGGGAAAAATTACAGACTTCGTACCTTTCTTTCGCCTTCTCCACACTCTTTCACGCCCATATGGAGAGGATACAGCAAATCTGCATCATCTGTAAAAAGTACAGCAGACCTATCGTCCAAAGACCAATGGCTGTGTTCTAGAGCAAATGCGAGCCGTGCAACTCTAGTCAATTCTGGTCCACTTATCGGGCGAAAAGTCATCAGTCCAGAATCAGAAATTTGGACACTTCGAACTTCCTGGAGCTGATGAATCGCTTGAACAACAGAAAGGCGCTCAAAGTAAAAAAAAACTGTCATCCTGTCGTTCTGTTACCCTAGGGCTCCAGAATCCGGCCTTCTATGGTAGGACCCAGTTTCTCGAAAACGTTGTAGGATATCTTCATTGCTTGCTGTGATGGACCGAAAGGCTTTTCGAATGACGCCATAGAAGCCATTTTCCCCCAGACAAGAGTACAGATTTGTATTGTCCATCAAGTCAGCCGTCATTCGGCTCGCAGTGTTTCGTATGGAACTCCGATGGTAATACCCGCATACCTGATAGAACGTCCAACATCAATAAATGCCATACCACGCGCATCATCCTCAGCACTAAGACACATTTTTTAATTTAAATATAGAAATTAAGAAAACAAAGATGAGAACTAAGGAGTCTATTGCTTCAGAATTCAAATGAGATTTTAAATTCCGTAAAAAGTAAACAATGAAAAATCCTTTATCCTTGGATTAAGAATTAAGTGTGTTTACTTTTAATTAATATTCCCAATTTAAAAAATAGCAATAATTAATATTCCCAATTTAAAACAAAGCAAACAAATATTTATTGGTAAAAACAATGAGACAAATTGAGGGCAGAATTTTATTTTATCTAGAAAATAAAAAAAGATCAATTGAGTGGAATTTTTGCCTGTCAGTGCATTATGTATATTTACATATGTACATTGGATACTATATACTAGACATAACAAATCAAAAATTATTTTACAAATGAAACCAATTTCACTACTAGTGACTAGAGTTTAATACATCTTTTCTTAGGTTATGAACAGATGTATTAAGCAAATCAATATTCCCACATCCATTCGCTTGTCTTAATATTCTATTATGGGTCCTTAGACCTTGGATGAAAACTAGGAACTTTAAACTGGATTAATGTTAATAAGTAGGAACTATCAATTACATTATTTAAAAACGTACACAAAAAAACAACACACCAGTCTTCCAGTGCATAATCTATGCAACCTCAGAGCTCGTAGAATTATTTCATAGGTATGAGGATCCCTATGTATCTTAAATTTATTAGAAACAAATCGGAGAAATTTATTCTGTACAAGTTCAATCTGACCAATTCGGGAGCTATAAAAGGGACTCTGCTCCCGGGCACTGCGGCCTTCTGACTTATTGTACCTTCCTAGTTCTCTAGTTCAGTAAAATAGAAACAATCCTTCTTGGAAGTATCAGGTCATTGACGTCGCTGCTTCATTCCCTAGATTTTTTATGGAATGTTAGGTTAAATCTCCATTTAGCTGTTGCTTCGCATTCGAAGATAAGATGGGTGGCTGTTTCCTCCTCCTCCTCAGTGCACAATCTGCAGATGGGATCTTCGTTGTATATGCCCATGTTATGTAGATGTTTTCTTAGATGCCAGTGACCGGTTAGGAGATCGCAGCAATGAGTTTGCCAGTCTTGGTGAGGGTTGTTTCATCATAGGTTCACTGTGTCTAGCACCACTAGAGTTTATCCATTCTCCTTTTGTTTTATTTAGATCCATTTTGCGATGGAGGATTCTGTGTTTGTTTTTGTTATCCAAAGTATAGATTTGGGGCCTATGTATGGTCTTGCAGATCCTCCTCCGACCAGTGTGTCTGTTTTCTCGTTATTCAAAATTACTCTATGCCCTGGCACCCAAGACATTGTCAGGTTGTTGCGTTGTTGTATGGTTTTGGAGATTTTGGATGCATTCACTGACTAATTTTGATGTGATTGTGCTTTAATGGCTACTTGGTTATGAAATCTTAAGCGCTGATGACATGTATTTCTGCGTGAAAGACCGAAGTGTACTTCCATGATGAGTTTGATTGCTATATTGGGCTTGTACAAAAATCACCCGATTCGTTTCCTTTGTTTGTTTTGGAGCCATCTATATACCATATTATTTTATCTGATGCTCTCCTGAGTTTTTCTGTCCTTTATAGACCGTTGAGACTTTATAGGATGTTGTAGAGAATGTTTTCGGGAGCATATAAGTTCCGTGCCCGAATTGTTTAGTTCCTATCCAATTTGATTGTTTTTTTGAGCCTAAATGATCTTTTCCTAGCCTCTCCTTGTATAAATGTTTCCATGGGAAGGTGGGTTTAAAAGAGTTTCTAGTGCTCTTGTAGGGGTTGTTCTCATTGCTCCTGTGGTATATAGGTTTGCTTGCATGCTGCCTAATGATTGAGCTACTTTTTGTTGAGCTTTGGTCCACCAGATTAATGATCCATAGTATTTTGAGATTTATTACTTCCGTGTATAGCCCATAGGCGATTTTCAGTTTTAATCCCCAAGATTTGCCTAGGGCTCTTCTTATTATCATTAGCGATATTTTACTTTTTGCTATAGTATGCTGCACTTGCCAACACAGTCGTACTCTAATATACTCCTTACAAGAAAACAATTTCAATACAGCCAATATTAAAATCACATGAAATTCTTAATATAAATCCCAACGTCTAGAGCGCCTTTCTTTTAACAAAGTTGATATGCTGATCAAAGGACAATTTAAAGTCTAAATATATTCCTAAGACTTATATTATATTTTTTCTTTCTAGTGAGACATCATTGATAGTATAATCATACAGTAAGCAGGATAACTTTCCGTAAAAAACATGGATTTACCGTTAGCAATTTTTAGAAACGAAAAAATTCTTTCACCCCATGAATACAGATTATTTATGTCCGATTGCGACTCCGATGTAATACATTTGTATATTTTCACGTCAACAAATAGAAGGGTTTTTCTGTGTACAATGTATTTAACCAGATCTGTAATAAAAATTTGAAAAGTAACGGGGACAAATGATCACCTTGAAGTACACCTTATGAAAATTATACAATTATTACGAAAGAAAACCCTTTTGAAAATACACTTTTTTCACATTATAAGTACTTGTATACATACAAGATCAAAGATATTTTATTTAAATTGATTATTGTTTATCTCTAGGGATTATCACTGTTCCCTTTATACTTGCAGAACGTTTATTCTTTTCAACCATTGACACCTTTTTTTGTCAAAATATCGTATTACTTAGACAGAATCATTTTAGATAAAAGATATATCTGTTTGATTATGGTTTCGATTAATCTTTCATTAATAAAAAACCTTACTTAAGTTGGATTACAAACAGGTTTAAAACAGTCACAAGACCACCTTGTTGAATTTTAATATTTAAAAATACTTTTAAGAGATAATTGAAATTGAGTTGCAATTACAGGATGATTACAGCTTGTTTTGGTAACGAGCATGAAATGAGCCCATCTCAGCAGTTTGATTTTATCGGAGCCTTCAAGGAAACCAGTTTCCCATAAAAATATTAGCACTCGTACAAATGAGAAAAACTTTATGTGCATTTTCTCGGCTCGGTTCAAAAACAAAGTCGAAGTTCGAAGTGATAAACAGGTTTGAGGAGACATTTCACTCCTCCAGCAATGACGATTTGAGGACCAATTTGTTTGAATAGATTTATAAATCTAATTAATACTTCTGGTATAGTTATATAATTTTTCCTGTCCCAAATTCACCCCCTTAAGATTGGTAAAAAATCAATTAATATGGGTTAGAGCTCATACTGGTGCCCTTGATTAAAAAGTGGATACTTTGGCCAAACTAGCTGCATCCACAGGAAATAAAAGTTGCTGCTTTATTATACAGTGTTAATGAAATATGCTAAATGCAATCAAATTTAGAAATGGGATTCAAGATACTTCCACTCGGAAAAAACAACCTTTTTCAACAACAACAAAAAAATATATATATAGACAGACAAAACAGTTCATATAATATAAGGAAAGGTTTAAACAGTGTAATTATGTGGTAGTCACTGAGTAATATTGATAAAGGACAGCGCGCACAACTTCAAATCGTTAAAACGTTTACTCAGAAAAAATTATAAACAGATTTGGTTATTAAATGAATTCTGTTTTTCTTTTTTTCAATGATTTTGCAGTTACCATTTTGCCCTGCTTTCAATAAAATCCAGCTGTGGTTACACATCATTAATTCATTGATCACAAACTGGCAATTCAAAAAAACGTAGTTTATTGTTATTATTGTGTAGTGAGAGAGGGACGTCTGTATAGTAACAGTAAGTTATTAGCAAGAATGGGTTCGACCCCGCCCCGAGGAATATCGAGTACTCTGGGCTGAGTGTGTGATGTCTGGGGGAGTGATAGTAATTTATTAGCGAGAATGGTGTAGGTTAGACCCCGCTTCGAGGAATATCCAGTACAAAGTTTTGTAATATAATAATACAAAAAATGACGAGGAAAGACAATAATCCATGGTATTGAGTACACCGGGGTGAATGTGTGACTGACTTCTGGAGAGTAAAAGTTAATTATTAGTGATGATGGATTCAACCCCACCCCGAGGAATATCGAGAACTCAGAGGGAATGAATGACGTCTATGTTTGTATCTGGTGCTGATATGTATATATATTGTATGTTTTATTTCTATACTGTAGTCGACAACCCGAGCTACATATTTTGTAATCTGATTTGAAAGACCGGAAAACTAAGGAAAACAAGCAGAGTGCTAGCGATGACCTCGGCTATTCGTCGATCCATAAACCTCCCACATATTATGTTGTTAAATAAATTATTCCAGACAAAATATACTTTGTTTTTATAAAAAAGTACATTCAAAATCCAAATAAACATTGCACCAAATGGCAGTAATTTTTCATTTTCTTTTAATAATACATCCATGCCATAATTAACTCCTAATTAAAGTTTGAGTATTTACAACTACAAATATTGTGTTAAGTAAATATTATACTATATATATAAATATGCTGCTTGTTGATTTGTTGTTTGAGTCACTTGTAGGAGAAGGTTGCCCAGTGACAACACTCCTTCACACCTCCTCATTCTTCAGTGAGATCTCGGGGCCACTTTCGTTTCAATCGTCTTGGAGGATTTTCTGGTAGGGTTGGAAATAATAAGTGCTAGTACATTATTATGGATGCTCAGTGATAGATGAAATTTTTTATAGCGAGTTTTGATAAGGGGTGTGTAGGCCCCTAAATAGGAAGATTTGAAACATGTGAATTTGAAAGAGGTGCAGTTATAATTTGAAGGAGAATTTCAGACTAAGGGAGGTCTCATCTTTATCTTGCAAGTTAGAAGTAAATTGAACAAACCAATGTTGTTTCCTATTGATTTTGACCAACTTGAATGATTTATTGCTAAACTGTTCTATCAGAAATGTTCATTCATTTCGGGCCATATGGAAACCTAAGGTGAAACAATATATAGTTGATTTTACTAGAAACAATACATGCGTGTTTGTTTTATTATGCATGCATTGCTTGAGCATGTAAGGTCAATTAATAAGTCAACTGGGCTATTACTGAGAAGCCGGGGACTTGGCCGAGGGTTCATGGAATGTAGCGAATTGTCGTTATACAGCTCCATTTGTCTCTATTTATTTACAAAGATGAACTGTTGAGAGCCCGAGTTTAGTATTAAATCGAAAGTGGTATTTCTAATATTGAACTGGCATTTAATACAAAAAATGTTTTAGGATAGATATTTACTAAATAGTAAGCTGAATTTGCATTACTGAAACTTCCTGTATTGATTAAAAATTTTAACTATTTGTCAAATTTATCTAAATTTACTACCTTATCAGTAAGGTGCCAGATTACTTTTCGTTAATAAAACTACAACTACCAGCACAACCACAAGAAAAGTGGTACAAGTCGAAAAATTCTAAAAACCGGATTATTTAGTGTTTTTTTTTTAAATTTTCGGGTATGTGATGCTGCAGAAAAAATGACACACCATGTGTCACTTTCGAATTGGCGGGAATCTACTGTCATCATTCTCACGAACTGAAATTGCTCACATTCGAATTAAATTCTAATACATTTCTTGAATATTTGAATGTACGAAACTAACATAACTTACAAAACTAACCACCGAACAACAAACGAGTGGGGACAGACCCGGTAAGTAACCCTGTGACGGTGCAACATGAGGGACAATGAAACCAACCCCCCTCAATTACAGTAGAAACTCTGCTGAACCTACCTCCATTGGAAACATTTACACAAGGAGAAGCTAGCAAAAGCTCATTTATCCTACAGAAACAAACAAACTGGACAGGAACCAAACACTTTGGGCACACAACAATAACCAGTCAAGTCAGACATCGATTCTTAGAAATGTGGAATGGCTACATGACTCGGAAGTACTCTTTACAACATACTATAAAGCCTCAACAGAATACAAGGAGAATAAGAATTCAGTAGAACATCAGATACAATGATATGGTGCAAAGATGACGTAAAGACGTAAAGGTACCGGATCATGCATTTTTTTTTTTTCAAGCCAAAACTTGAGCAATCAAACTCATTGGGGAATTAAATCTCGGCCTTTCATCAATGGCCATTAAAGGTTCTGCCTTGGAAAAGCTTAAAAGGGATTGGAAAAAAAATCCTCATAACATCGTGTAGACAAGCATCTATTAAAGCATTAGCGTGTAAAAAAATCACATCAAAACTTGTCAGTGAATGCATCCAAAATCTCCAAAAACTGGGGGAAAACAAGAATGATGATCTTGGAAACTAAGACACAAAGTAATTGTGGGTAACGAGAGGGGCAGACACAATGGCCATACGAGGATGTGCAAGGCCCTGAGAACCTATTCTTGGGATGTCAAAAAGAAACACAGATTCCTTCAATTCAAAATGGATTAAAAAAAGGGAAGAAGAGAAGTGGTTAAACTCTAGATGTGCTAGACACAGTAAACTTTTGCCAAAACAGCCCTAACCAATACTGGCAAATTCACTGCTAACGTTGTAGAGGAGTGATACGATTACTTTCTGATCACTGGAATTTGAGAAAATAGCTAAACATGGGCATATTCAATGGTGACCTCCCCATCTGTAGATTATGCAATGTGGAGGGAAAAAACAGCCACACATATCATCTTGGAATGGTGACATTGGGATACAACGAAAACCCAGGGAAAGGAAGCTATGTCAATGACCTAGTGATGACCTTAAAATAAGGATCAAATCGACATACTGTACCAAGGAACCAGCAAAGTACAATAAGCCAGAAGGCTGCTTGGGGAACATAAACCATACTTCCTAGTCTTCTTTCATCATCATATAGTTAAACTTTTCGATAAAAATCTATGCAGTTGTAAAAAGTATATTTTCGAATTGAATTTACGAAAAGTTGTTTATAAGAAAAAGTTAACTAAGCAGTAAGTAATATAAACTCCTTATCTGTTTTTCGATCGTTTAAAAATTAATAAAACAATTACCTTGTAATGTTCCAGTGCGTCGAGAGCACGCGTGTAGCCTTCGCTGTTATATACACAAAGAGCGGATAGAAGTTCGAAGACTTGTTTCTTAACCGTAACGTTATTGGTGTCCAACGCTGTAACAAAAGTTTAAACAATTATTAATTGATTTACGAAGGGTTGATAGACAAATTACAGTACTTGTAACTTGAATCCTCTTTTATCCAATTACCTGAACTGAAGCTTTAAATTTATTATGTGATATGCGTGATATCAAAATGCTTTTTAAATTAGGTCAATGGATATTAACTAGTAATGTATATAAACTAGATCGGATGTGGCTGTAGACGAAGAGTGAGTTTTGGAGGAAGGAACGGCACTGGTTCTCCTACACGTTCCGTGAGTCACGGGCTCTTTCGGCCAAAACGTTTGCCACACGTCCTTCAAATATTTTTCAACGGGTCAGAATCGGAGCCGACGTCGGTTTTCTTTCGGCCAACGGCCAGCAATGGGATGAATTCTTTTCGAAACGGAATTTCCGCCCATTTTGGCTAGATTTTCTCCGTTTTGCAAGACAAAAAGATGATTTTTTTCGGCCTAGAATGCTGCCGACTGGTAGACTAACAAATCAGGTCTCATATTTGTAGGGTTTTCTTCTCAAGATAAGACGTTTAGTTTTAAAAACTGATGATCGCAGACAACCGAACCTTTTAAATGATTACAACAAAAGGAAAATTGTTTCCTCTCTGAGAATAGAAAAATAGAATATTTATTCAAAAAATTTTAAAGTTTAAACATATTTCCATAGGAGTGCCAGTTACACTATAACCTCCTGCTTCAGAAAATTATTTTTTAAAAGAGTGTTTTAACAAGACAGAAGAAAATTTAAGGGTAAAAAAGTAAGAAAAACCCTAAGCCGTAGGCAAATGTAGCCAGTGGTTCCCGTTTTTTGTGTCATGTCCCACTTAGATTTTAGCAAGTCTCTTCTGCCCACCCTCAACGTACATAATCTGCAATCCATTAGCTTTCGTGGTCCGATTAACCAAATAACATCTTTCAATGAATTAATATTTATGAAAGGTATTGGTTGAAATAAAAAAGTCAGTGCCACGAGCGGGATTCGAACCCACGGCCTTCGGCTAAATACGCCGCTGCTCGAACCAGTTGAGCTATCGTGACTTCGATCCATTCGGACACTAACTTCCCACCTCAACCCACCTTTCGAATTTTCCCTCCTTTTCGCCATTTTTCAAATGTCGCATAATCTATTTGATTCTCAACGACAAATGAAATGGCCACGGAGAGCATTAGTTAGGATATACTTCATTTAACTTATTAAACCCATTAGCTTTCGTGGTCCGACTGACCAAATAACATCTTCCAATTAATTAATCTTTATGTAAGGTATTGGTTGAGATACAAAATTTATCTCAACCAATACCTTACTTAAAAACTGATAAAACTTTATTTTTTCGAAAAGGGAAAAAACTTCCACAGATTTGGTTGAAATTTACAAATTTAACAAAATATCAGATAAAATGTAGTTTTCCGCATATAAATTACAATCTTAGAAAGCAATACGATTCTCGGAATGTATTCTATTCTTTTTATTTTCATTCGGAAATCGTGAGATGCGGTCTGGTACGGAAAACATTTTCCTTATCGTGCCAACGTGTCGATCTTTATTGAGATCATCTTCAGGGCCTGGGATTTACAAACATTGTTTAAATTTAACAAATACATATAGGGTGTGAAAAAAAGTGAATTTATACAATGCAAAAAAAAAATTTTTTATATTCAATCAAAGTATTTCTACTCACTCAAAGTGTTTGTTTTCTGCGTAATTGTGCCATTCTTGCGTGTCGTGTTGAGAGTGCCAGAGATATTGCTGTTTTATGTTTATATACATTGGATGTTGAAGGGGTAGGGAAGAAATACTTAGATTGAATGTAAAAAAATATTTTTTTGCATTGTATAAATTCACTTTTTTCCACACCCTACATGCATTTGTTAAATTTAAACAGTGTTTGTAAATCCCAGGCTCTGAAGATGATCTCTATAAAGATCGAAACGTTGGCACGATAAAGAAAATGTTTTTTCTGAAACCTACATCGCACCAGACCGCATCTCACGATGTTGGGGTTGAAGCGAGGGGCAGAAGAAACTTGCAAATATCTAAATGGGACATGACATAAAAAAAGGTTGGGAAAATGTTTTTCTGAAACCTACATCGCACCAGACCGCATCTCAAGATTTCTGATAGGTCAAAAATTCAAGGGGCCGTCGGTGGCCGCAACGGTTTGGAAGTTGACACGGCGCTCATCACTGTAATGTAAAGGTCCCGGGTTCGAATGTAGGGCCGCTGGATTCGAACCCGACATACTTACAAATGGACTTTTTTTTTTCAAAAACACCGGCACCCGAGGGTTGATATAACCTCTGCTGTTGCGAACCCTCGTGAAAAAAAAGATAAAAAAATAAAATAAAATTTACGTTCTTATAGCAAATTGAGCGCTGAGTAAAAAGGTTCTATACACCTGGTTTCGGAAATTTATTTCAGCGTCGAATGAGACTAAAACCAGCCGGATCAGTTGAGAAATGTAATTTTCGTGATTTTTCAAATTTAGGAAGGTGAGGGGCACAAAAATCACCGTTTCTGACATTTTTTATCGATAAATTCAAAAGATGCACCCCTACTAAAAATGTTCCGGAAACAAACCTTGCCGGCGATGGAATTATTCGTCAAATTAGACCAACCCCACTCCAATTGATGAAAAATTTCAATTTTGACAAATTCATTACCTTTCGGACGAATCGAAAATCACTGTTTTCTAATGGGTATCCTACATTGAATGAATTAATGACGATCTGAAGGGGTTACTTAACAATTTTTGAAACCTACTCGTCTTTCAATGAATATTGCATTTTATTCTTTTTTAAAAATTATAAAAATTTGTTAATAATGAAATGAATTGTTTAATTATTCAGAAATCGTGAGATGCGATCTGATGTGATGTAGGTTTCAGAAAAACATTTTCTTTATCGTGCCCACAGGCACTCTCAACACGACACGCAAGAATGGCACAATTACACAGAAGACAAACACTGAGCTCTGAAGATGATCACAATAAAGATCGAAACGTTGGCACGATAAAGAAAATATTTTTCTGAAACCTACATCACACCAGACCGCATCACACGATTTCTGAATAATTATCGATTAACGGTCACTAATCACCACACATGAATTGTTTAATCACGGTTCAATATACCTTCCTATTCTGGACCTAATAGATCTCAGCTAAAAGCTCCAGCCACCTGACATTGCACCTTTTACATGATGTCCAAACTACCCTCAATTTGACGGAGGTTTGTTTCGGAACATTTTTTAGTAGGGCTGAATCTTTTGAATTTATCGATACAAAATGTCAGAAACGGGGATTTTTGTGCCCCTCACCCTCCTAAATTTTAAACATCACGAAAATTATAATTCTCAACCAATCAGGCTGGTTTTAGTCTCATTCGACGCTGAAATAAATGCACTATGAATTTTATTTCGAGTTGTTTTATGATAGTAGTAGTGGTTTACTTACTATATCACAGACAATGAATATCAGAAAACGGTTTTTTTTAACCCTAGCTCTGAAGGCTATTCGGACCCGAGGTTTACAGGTTTTACTCTTTGTCCAATTTCCTATAAGTTCTTGAAGTTTTCACCCATGATTTGGGGCCACCCAGTATTTTCTGCTATTTCCGGATCAATTTAATAAACGCTTCGATTCTAGTATTTTAGCGTGTGTTGAAGGATTCTGGAAAAAGAGAAGACGTGACGACCACACACCTACTCTGCCAACCCACCTCCCTCCGCCATCAAGATTATGTCTCTTCCCAAGCTACTTATTGTTAGATCCATAAAAAAGCAAAAGTTTCTCCCGTAAGCAGGTAGCACAATAGGCATAGGTCTAAGCCCAGGAAGGTCAACTTCACCAGTCTTATTATACTTTTGAAATGTTTGTGATACTTTTTATCATTCGCGTTTCCCAGTACATCGTAACCGTTCTAGATAGATTATAAAATAACAAATAAAACAAATTATAAAACCAACTAAAGTATTTTTTTTAATATTATCATCAAGACTCATACTTCCAATATTTTTGAGGATTAGAGGTGTATTTATTTCAGGGTAATGCTTGTGATATTAACTGAAGAGAGATGGGTAAAAATGGGAATAAGGTAATGAACAATTAGTCAATAAAAAATCTGGTCGAGGTCTCCGCTCAGAGAAACACACTTATTTTACCCACGTCTTCTTCGTAAACGGAAAACTCAGCACAGCATGTCGTTTAACCTGCGGTTAGAAGATTATTTGTCTCGGCGTCAGGTTTGACTTTAAGAATTGGCTTTAAATTAAATGAGGTCCGAGTGAACAGAATGAAGTTCATAAAACCCACTTTCTCAATTAGAAGTAATTGATGTATACCGGAATCACATAAATTGGGTAATAATTAAATTCAGAAGAAGTAGAAAATAATTGGACAAATGTCTCGTACAGTCTGTAAGGAGTTTTATTTCCTCAAAAGAAAAATAACAATAATAATCGGCCAATAATATCAATAACACAACAAACAAAAAATTAACATCAAATTCTCGGTAAAAGTTGATTTTTTCTATTGTGAATTTATTGTTTACAAGTAAAAATATTGTACGAATATTAATGTCTGTGTAAGGAGTGACTAAAATATTAATATATAGGTAGTGGGTTTCTTTGATTGAATATGGTGACATGGCAAAAAAAGCTAGATCACGATGTCTGGCAATGATTAATCTACATAAATCAACACGATATATAAAATGTGGTTATGAATATATGAAAAAGGGAGAGAAAGCGGATCAGCATCACACAGAAAATGTATAAACGTGGAAAGATCGTCTTTATGATAATAAAGCCATGAGAACGTTTGTGAAAGCTTACTTTCAGTAGTAATTATGATTTGGCTTAAAAAGAAGTCACACAGAGAATTATCGACCAGCGATTATAACAATTGATGATTGGGATCATGTTTGTGGTCCAAAATGAAGCAGTCGTTTGCCAAGTTTTCTTTCGGCTTTTTATTAAGCCTTTCTCAGGACTCTTCAG